ACTTTATGCCAATGGGAATTTATTCACATAGTATAGAGGAGATTCACATTCTATTTCAATCCATAAAACCATGACTGAAAATGACCATGAAATATGTACACTGGGTTTTTTCCATCCAACATATTATCTAGTGGATCTTACTGATTGTCCTTGATTATTTAATATTTGATTTGAAAAATTGACAGTTGGAAAAGATGATTTTGCAATCACTGATTGGCAGCAAAGAGATAGTAGCTAAACCCAATTTTCTAGTGCAAATTAAATTAATGCAAGTTTCAAATTAAGAGAAAGTTGTGAAAATAGTTTTTACATTTTCAACTTCTCAACCAGCAAGTAAAGAGTTGTAGAGTTTTGTTTATTTAAATAGAAACAGATTTCCAAATAATAAGGCAGTCTTTTCAATTTGAAAAAAAAAAGATATAGCCAAAAACATACCAAGGTCAGCCACTCGAAAGTTAATCTTTTCAACTACTTCTCCTGTTAATTGGTTTACTGCTATTTTAGTAGAGGTAAAAAAGTTAAAGAAATTTTGTGGAGGAGAAAAATTAAATATAACAATAACATTTGATTTGAATACATTTGAATCTATTTGAGCTTGGATGGACAAAGAATTAGTCAAGATACAAATAAAATCCATATACACATTTTTTTTTTTTTTTTTTTTTTTTTGTTATTCACCTCCTCAAGGCCGAGAAGGCCACTGCAGACGAGGAGGCTACTTAATAGTGGTTATAACCCTCTCTCAACTCTATAACTCTGAAACACGAACCTTGATGAACAAGGTGGCTGCGTGGAGAAACAAGTTGAGCGCTGTACTACCAGGGACGTGGTACACCTGAAGCAAAAATTAGATACCATTTGGAGAAGAGTTCCAAGGAAAGTTTGCAAAAATCTTGTGAAATTAATGCAAAAAAGATGTATTGCTATCAAAAAAAAAAAAAAAAAGCAAGTTGGAGATGTTTTAAATATTAGTTTTGATTTATTTTTGTTGCATAATTTTTTAAATTGCTGTTTTTTTATTGATATTCTTTGTTATTCAATAATACTTTTTTTACAGAATTTTATGTTATACTATGTTATCGAAGATGCAATACTTGTTTATAAAAAAGTTTTCTTAAAATTAAAAAAAATTCCAAATATTCCAAAATCTCTAGTTTCTATTTTAGTTTTAATTTTAAAAATTTTATTTGCGAGGATATCAAGAGCTGTATATATATAACAACTTTTCACAATTTCAAAAAATTATAATTGAACCCTTAAACTTAAAGAATAAATATTTTAATTTAACAAATATCGAAGCCTATTTATTATTATGAAAAAAAATGTAAATTCAATAGGGTACTGTTGTGGTTCTAAAAATAGATTTAATAAACTTTTTTGCAAAGCTTTCTGGGATCAAAATGCAGACAGACAATACAAAATACAAAGAAACATAATACCAATCCTGAAGAAAATGTGTATAAAAGTACAATAAAACAATGTTATTAGGATCTATTCTTATCAGATTCTTGCTACCTTGAACGTTAGCCAGCTTGAGTAAGTAAAAAAAAAAAAAAGGAATAATTAAGATTCAATGATAAAATTGGAAAAAAGTATAAAAGAAAAATAAAGCTTTTGAAATTATATATTTAATTAGAAAGTTTACATCTTGTAGATTTACTTGTCAAAAAAAATGAAAATAATATTAACATAGATGCTAATAATATATATAATCATTATAACAAAGAAACTTATAAACTCTTTATTAGTTCTAATATAAATGCAGAATGAAATATTGTTGATTTTAGTACTGGAAACAGCTGTGATTTTGTTGATTTTCTGTATCATTTAATGTTTTATTATATGAACATAAAAATTATTATCACTTCAATGAATTTCAATTTTCTACTTAGATGACTTTCTTGGACAGCAAATGATCAACTTTCATATTTCAGCTCAAGGAGTGTGAGGGTTAAAACAAAATCTTAAAAGTTATCTGTAAAAAAAACTAAAGCAGGCTTGGTCGGGAAGCGGGAGCGATCGCTCTCGAATACTGACCACGGAAATTATATTTAATTGCGTAAAACTGGCCAGGTTTTTTAGTCCTTTTGAGAACATTTAAGTTTATGTACGAAACAAAGAATTTTTGTTTTACGGACATACATGGAAACATAACAAACTTGAATGTTCTCAAAACATCTTTGTGCGAAAGAATAAAAAGAATATTTGCGAACACTAAAAACCCGCCAAATTAACAAACAAACTAATACTATTGGTTCAAAAAATACGCTGATTAAACGAAATAAAGTTCTAGAGTATTCTGTTAAAATTGTATTATTCACGATTTGTTACGTTTTGAGATTTGTAGAATTGTTTTAAGAATATATATTATTTGTTTACAAAAATAAATGTTTTAAATATATATTAATTAAATTGTTAAAATTTTAAAAGTTTATTATAAATCATAGATTTTATTAGTATATTCTTATTTTTTATTTTAAAAGAGATTGTATTCTTTATGTAAATATAATTTTGTGTATTTGTTTTTTATCGTAATGTATCTTTTAAAGCAATTTTTATGATTTAAACAAAGACTTACAAAAATAATTGCGTTTTTAATGAAGTTATAATCGTTAAAGTTAATAAAACTAATTATGTAACAAACATATAAGAAGTTTCTGGTTACTAAACACAAACAACGCATACAAAGTAACTCACGGATGAACAAGCATCGCGCCTGAGAACACGACAGAACACAAATATATAATAGCAAATATTTAGATATAAAGAAAAGTTTCTAGATATTGGTTTACTAACTCTAATTATTTTCGCTTAAGTTACCATTCTTAAAACTCATTATACTTTTTTCTGCCTTAAATACTAATTAAAATTAAAAAGCCCACTTATTAAACATCATTAGCGATATTGTGAAGCGGTTTCGCTTCCTGGTCATTAAGTGTTTTTAACCTTTTAAGTTGATTTCTATCTTGATAATTTAATTCCTATAATAATTCAATGATTTAATTATTTCATTTGTTTATCTTACTAAGAAGAATTGCTTCAAATATGTTAAACTTTTCAAACTACACGAAACATAAAATAGGTATTAAAAAATTAACTTTTTTATTTATAAAATAAATTAAGCTTAAGTAAAACTAAAAATTTCAAATTTAGTTAAATAAAGAATATTTGTTTCTCTTTTAAACAATCGTAAGTTGTTACTTTATATAAAAAACATCGCCTAATTTTATAAAAAAAATTATAAAAAACCGATGTTTAGAAAATATTTGTTCTAAATGTAATTTATTTAGCTTAAGGTTTTTTTGGGGTTTAAAGATATTTTATTTGCCTACATTTTTTTTTTTGTAATTGTCTCTCATCGGCCCAATTTATTTTAGTCGCTTTTTTTTTTTGCTTTTTAAAATGTTCTCAAAACGCATAAAAAATCTGGCCAGCTTTTCACAACTAAATATTATTTACGTGGTCAGCAATCGAGGGCGATCGCTCCCGCTTCCCGACCAAGCCTGCTAAAGCATGTATCAAATTTTAAATCAGTATAGCATTAGTGATGATTTCAGAAGTGTGAAATTATGGAGTTTATTAATTTTCAAGATTGTTTTCTTGTCTATAAAAGAATTTATAATTCAAGAATTGCTTTTACAGAAACAAGCAACTATTTATATTGCACTATTTTTAGGCGTGTGAAATGCTCACAAATGAAGAGGCTATGTAATCAACATGAATTGTAAAAAGCACAAGTTTATTTTGAACGATTCAATGAAAATATTTGTTTAGATTTAGAAGGTTTGTGTTTCAGAGTTATAGAGTTGAGAGAGGGTTATAACCACTATTAAGTAGCCTCCTCATCTGTAGTGGCCTTCTCGGCCTTGAGGAAGTCAATAACAAAAAAAAAAAAAAAAATGTGTAATTCTTATACAAGTATTAATACAAAAAAAAGTAAATTTAAAAGATTAAAAACCATTTTGAACAAATTTTTCGCAACTTTTAAAAAGAAATTTATATACTTATATATATACTAATAAATATAACTAAATATATTTTTAATATTTTTATTTTAAAAATATCTTTTTAACAGTCAATATTTGGAGAGCTGGTTAATATTTTCCTGAACTTGTCTAATTTTTTTTCTTTGTTTATTCTCAGGTGCTTAATGTGGAGGGGTAATTAGTTACATTTTGGAAAATATACTCATCCTAAGCGAATTAAGATTCATTAAATTCATTTCTTTATTAAATTTTACTTATTACCGAAGAAAACTATTGACTTATAAAAATAAAAATATAGAGTAATCAGGTTTTATCATGTCAAATTTAAATTAACTGATCAAAATGAGAACTTTCACTATAATCAGCTCTTAAAAATTCACAGACACTAAACAAGAATTCAAAAAGTTATTGAGAGTTTGGATTGAAAACTGAATAACTTGTATTGTTGTTATACATTTTTGATTTGTTTGTCTGCATTTTGATCGCAAAATCCTAAGTTTTTGTTTATTCAAAATATGCATGATGAAAGCAAAACAGTAACCTATTATAACAACACAATTCTGTGAAAAGAGAAATTTAATGTCACAAATTACTGTATATATATATTATAACAAAATACTCCTCCAATTTGGTAAACTAGAGCTATGAGCACACGAATGTATTAACACCAATCAATAATTTTTTTTATTCCATTATAAATATATTATTTTTTATCATTAACTTTTATTTAAAACATATTATTCATACATTTTTTATTTTATACTTCTTTATTTATGCTTTTTTTAAAGTGAATTAAATAGAATTAAAACTCTTCTTTTTCTTTTTAATTGCATGGTATTTATAATTTTTAAAATACTTAATAAATAAGAAATAATAGTAATGATTGCAATTACTGATTCATTTTCAGCTTTAAAATTGTTTGAATTTGTTCTTAGGTGCATAGTAACAACTTGAAAAAAGCAAATAAAAATTTTTCTTTGAGTAATGTAAAACATAGGCTAAATTTAAACTAACCTGTTACACCATCAACCAAGTAAACATATGAGGTTCCTTTTACACCAGACCCTTGCTGTGTCATAAATGCAATAAGATTTGGATTTAAGTATTTATATAAAACAGAATGATCCCCTAAGACACGCCCAACTGAATTAACAACTTCATCATTTCTTTTCTTTTTTTGAACAATCAATTTTTGATTTTCAGGGATAAATATTGACCACACTTCGTTTAATTCAAAATTACTATGAGTTTCTTTTATTTTATAACCTATAAATGTGTTAGTTGTCTGATTTGCCAGGTAAATGTATATTGAGTCCATATGTGATTTAAGCTTATTAATAGTATATGAATTTTGCGGATAAATTTTTAACTGCTTCTCTGAAGTAACAACACCAACAACTTTAGCTGACTTGTCATCTAGAGAAAAAAAAATTTGTTCTTTATAAACGGAAACATTACAATTTTGGCAAATTTTTTAAATATTCATAACTTTCTTTTAATTTTCTTCAAGCTAAAAATAAATTTTATCCCTACAAATCACTAATTTCAATGCAATTAAAGAATTAAAAAGGATTTTTGTTTTTTGATTTTTTCATGTTTAACATTAAAAAATAAAAAGTGAAATTTTATTAAGGAATTGAAAAGCCATTTTTTATAATTAGGTAACCTTGCACATTCAAAATCAAAGCAAACAGAACATAAAAAGACTGTACCTTCAAATGGAAGTTCTGCAACTTGTAGATACTCGTAGCTTTCAATTGAAACAGGCTCTTTCAAGCCTTCTCCAGTTAATGGATTGAACTTATAAATGACTGTATTTTTTTTATTTAAATTCAAAGGAGCAATCAAAATGCACTGTGAAGGAAGTGGGAAATGGGCAGAAGTACGTTGCTCAATAATTTCAAAACTCCCATTAGAGCTTACATGAGGTAAAAAATGGCTCCAAACTATTTCACCATCTATAAATTGATAGTAAATAACAAAAAATTAAATAATTTTAGAAACAACAACAAAAAACAATATTTTATATCAAGTAAAATCGAAAAATAGTATTAAAGGTATTACTTTGAGAATTGATAGCAAACAATTTCTTTGCTTTTGTCATCAGCAAAATAATTTTATAAATACTAAACTGGTCACGCTTTAAAGAAACACTTTTTTCTGCATTTCTATTAGAAAATTGATGATTTTTTCTAAGACTTGATACAAACGCTTGTAAGTGGAGAAATTGAGCTTTTACTCTGTTAATGAATTTGTTAAACACACCAACTAAAAATTAAAAAGTTCAAGTTGAATTTTTAAAAAGAAAGTGGATGATAGATATTTTATATAAAAATAAAAATGGATGAAAATTTTTAGTAGATAAGGTCAGCACTTTGTTCAAAATTTACAATCTAAAAAGCTGTGGCAACCTTTGATTTTGAAAAAAAAATTAAACAAGTTATTTAATAACAAATTGTTTAAAAATTTTATACATTTAATGTTTGAAGTATTTTTTTAATAATAAAAAATTTACCATTTTGATTTACAGAAAATTCATCATGAAGCAAAGAAAGTTGTAATGCAGATGTTGAAGGAGGAAGTTCAATCATTTTAACATTAGAAACTTGTGACAATCCTTCATTTCTTGTCCAGAGTATTTTTCCTTCTTTATTTCCAACATTTTGAATAAGAAACATGGAATAATCTTCACAAATTAACAAAAATCGATAACTTAGCTCATTTTGCTTCTGATATAAATATACAGCACCATAAATTGGTGGTGCTATTTCTGCATCCAAATAAATAACAGATTCTAGATTACTAGCTGTCTCTAGTGTATTATATTCAAATACATTAACTTTTAAACATGGCTGATTTTTTAAAACAGACTCTGATATTTCAAAAATTAATTTTTTTGATAAAACATCAATAGACATAAAAAACCCAGGTGTTTTAAGAAATTTAACAACTTGAACACCTAGTAAGTCTACATTAAGTTTGAATAATACTGAGTATTTACCTAACTTTATACATGCTTTATCTGATACCTTTTCTAATGATAAAGGTATAATTTGAAAATTTTCAACTTTTTCAAACTCACTATCTTCTATAAAATATTTTAAGTCTAAACTATTTTTTGAAAAAGTAGATAATATTTCAGGTTTTAAATTTAAAACAAAAACTTCTGTTCTAGATGAAATACAAATAAGACAGCTTGAAACAATTTCACAGCTGATATGATCATTTAGTATCCAATCAGCTTCTACATCTATGCTTTCAATTACATTTCCTGTTTCCGGATCAAGATAAGATATGGAAACATAAGACTTATCACTCATTATTTTAACAGAAAATAAATGAATTTTATTGTTATAATTCCATGCTCCGAACAATTGTGACGATTCAGAAACATCATAGTGCCATATTTCTGAACCATCATTTAAAGACACAACACAAATTTGTTGGTTTGACACAACTAACAAACTTTCATCTTCTAAGATGGTTGCCTGATGATTTTTCATTATGTTTGGAAGATTTTTAAAGCGAGAATCAACTAAAGGAATAAACTTGTGAACGCCTGACTCCCATATTAAATGACCATTTTTAGAATTCCATGAACGAATAATTTTACTTGACCCTGAAATTGTTATTAATACATTTGATTTGTAAAAAAGCATTGCCACATCTCCATCGTCATCTGCAAATACTTTTCGCCACAACAAATGCCCAGTTTTGGCATTAATGGCAGCAATAACGTTGGATTCAGTTGAGACGTATGCTCTTTGATTTCTAGAATGATTAGTTTCAAAATACACATATTTGGCTTTACCTATGTATTTATGACGCCAATCAAACAAACCAACCTGGTCTTCATACAATCCAAAGCTAAGCTGTATAAAAAATATGTTGACTATGCAGTAAAAAAAAATAATTCGAAAGATCGACACCGCATCGCAGAACGATCTCATTGCGGCCATGGCTGTACTTCAACAAAGCGTTATGTCAGATGGGTTTTTATTTGCGCAAACTAAAGGCCCGTTTCTACTACACAGGAAATATATTTCAATAATGGCTGGTTTTATATCCTGTATTAAAAACGTGTAATAAAACTTGAAATTGTCCTGTAATAAAAACTAAGAATCTGGAAGAAGATCATAATGATCTTGTCGCCAGAACCATATAAAAATTGTAATGTAAATAAATATTAAACAAGTAGTTTAAATTAAAATAATAATCTAAAACAGTTGAAAAAAAAAATGGTTAAAAGTTATATCTACAAAATATTTTAATACATTGTTCGTTGAAAAAATAATATTCTTTAACTTAATTTTAAACATTGGAAAAGAGATTAACAAATCAAAATTGTGCTGAAAAACATTTTCCAAACATAAGGTGCTCGATAAGTTATACAAAATTGATTAAATTTTATCGATAAAAGGGTTCATAGAAGTAGCTATTTTTTCGCAAACTATATTTATTCTTTACTTTAAAGGTGCATACATCTTTTAAAATGTTTAATAATGGGTTGTTCATACAACAAAACGTTAAGCATAAGATATTATAAATGTTAAGTTCATAAACGTTTAAAGCATTCATAACTTTTCAGGGACAATCGTCAATTTTTAAAAAAAGTTCTCTATATCGAAAATTTTCTTAAAAAAAAAGGTCTTTTAGAAAAAAAGTGGGGAGGGGGGCACGTATATCTAGAAGTATGTTACGCGTAAAGCATTTTTTCTGATGGTGATAAAGATCTTCACTTACCAGTGCTTTCCCAGGCAATATTTATATAGTTTATATAGTTATGAATAAACGAGTTGCTTTAAACTATTTTTATTTAAGGGGTATACTCCCCCAGAAATTTTTAAAAAATCAAAAAAAAAAAAACTGATTTAAACAATTAAATATATGGGGGTTTCAGAAATGTTTAACCTAAAAATATCTCTAAATACCAAAATTTTTTGTTTTTGAGAGTTAGGTACAAAAAAGAGAAAATTTTTTACCCCTAAAAAAATCACTTGTAAACCAAAACAACGTAATATTTTCACAAGTTAAAAGCACTTTTGGCTTCTTGTTAGACTTGTTAGCACTTTATTTTTGGTATATAAAGACTAAGTTCGTTTTGTTGTTTTAAAGCTTATTTTTTGTCGCATTTTCTTGCCAGAAATTTTAAATTTTTTAGTTTTCAGACATGGTTAAGGCTGATCGAATTAAAGTTAGAACTAAGCGAGCAGGCAAAAGAAAGAAGATTTTTAATAGAAAAGTGATAAGTAGCAGTGTGAGTGTAAATAATGTAAATTTTCTTTCTTTAAGTGTAAATATCGAATCACCTGTAAATAGTCAAACTGATATCTTCGATACGCCAAGCTCTTCTCTTCGCAAATTTGAAGCAGTCATTAGCTCAACTCCACAAAAATATACCAATACTAAAAACAAAGTTCTGACATGATATAGAATTATCGATTGTTCAGTTTTGTCTGACGTTATTAGCGTTTTGAGCTGTCCGACTTGTTTCCAAACGACTTTAGCAATCATTGAAAACAAAAGTAAAAAGCAAGGACTTGCATGTAAACTTTCTATTGTTTGTTTAAAGTGTAAATATCAAAATAACTTTTACACTTCTAAGTTAGTTAACAAAAAAGGAAACTTTGATATAAACAATCAAACAGTATATACAATGAGGACTCATATATATAGGTACGTGAGTATCGCGTTTTACGGAACCGAATTTTGTGCTAAAATTCTGTTCCACGTTTTTCGTAGTCTCTTAAAAGTTAGAGTGCTTGAGGAAGGCCTTGTGAAATAACTTTTTAGTATTCGTTATCAACATAGATTATTTTTAGAAAGAAGAATAGTTGAAGCATTAGTTCGATTGGTTTTTAATTATACTCACTTAATTTATTAACGAGTTATTAATGTCAAAATTTTGGTTGTACTTCTGTGGTGAATTTAATGTCCAGGATATAGTCTTTTTTTTTTTCTATCTACTTTTTTTATTAAATTTATTCATTTATCTATGCACCTGCCAATTTTCGTTGAAAAATATTTTGTAGCAGTCACCTTATTTCTTGCTGCACTTTTGTTACCTATTTTACATTTTACCTGATGTTGGCGCGGGAGACAGAGGGGTCTATTGATTGTTTTTATTTATATTTATTTTACATATATAGTATTCATATTAGCAATATTTGACTTATGTCATAAATTGATATTGTAAACCTAGATATTTTAGAATAAAAATATAGTTAAAAAATTTGTACATTTAAAAGAAATTACTTTAATAAAACGATTTTTAGTAAATATTAAAATAAGACTTGGATTTTATATTTGATTTAGAAATAAAATGGAGGAAGAAAATAAAGGTTTCATCTAGTATTTCATATCATATTCATAATAAGAATTAGATGTGAATTAAATTATTGATGAATCATATCTAATTTGAAGATTGAACGTTGTTTTTATTTAATAAGAAATATCTTTATGGATAAGTTGTTTCAATATAAATTTATTAAACTGTTTTTAAATTATCTGGCCACTATCTAAATCTTTATGTACATATATAAATGATATTAGTTTTCTAATACAGTTCTTTATTATGTCTGTGTAGATTGTTGTCTAACAATATTATTTCTTGTTAGTTGTATTTTTGTATACTTAATACTTACATTTTTTTAAGTCACTCTTTTTTTTCTGTAGACAATTTAGAACAAACAATCAGTAAGTTAAGTTTGAATTGTTTTAGTTACTATATCATTTAAAGTATTTTTATGCTGTGTTAGTATTCCTTGTTGAATAAATGTTTTGATTTAAAAATTTTTTTTAAAAGATTTAAGTTTAAGAAAAAAGATTGTCAAATGGTCAATTAATGTAGCACATAAAAACAGATTTACAAATCAACTGCATCAATGCAAAGTGAGAGATGAGATTTGCCAAAGACAAAAAATCAAGCGCCAAAAAATGGATGAAAAAGAAAAAAGAAAGTTAGAGCGTGAGCTATTCAAATTGAGTTTTAACAAAATTATTAATTCATGCAAGCGCTTGTTCAATGACCAACTATTTGATTTAGAAGATGCCATGTCAGATAGAATTGTTCGGAAGAAACTAGAACATGAATGGTACGATCCAAAAACATGCAAAAGTGTTTTATATAGCGAAAGAGTAGAAAAAGTTAATAAAAGAAAAAATAACTTTATTTACACCATTTCTTACTGGAAAGATGATGAATCTGATATTGGAGCTGTTGACTATTGCATGAAAAAGATCCAGCTTGCTGCTGATGTTGTTTCCAGTGAGTTACAATTTAATTAATTTAATAACACTGCAAGTGTTGTGACTTGTCAAAAATATGTTGCAAGTGTTGTGACTTGCATAAATAATATTTATTTTGAAACAGGAAATTTGTTTATTAACCGAAGAAAATGGTTAGCTTGTTAACCATACTGTATGGTTCTGTTAATGTGAGAATCACGTGAAAGACAATAATAAAGGTATTTTTCTATACTTAGTTATAAAGATGACATGTTTTTTAAAGCCTATTGACCTAATTATAGCCCCACAATAGTAGTTGTATAATTTTTTTAGTAATATATAACCAATTAAATAATAATATTAGGTTAGAGAGGGAAGGGGTATTAGTATGCCTCTTTCCCCTTTAAAACATCATCAACATATCTACTATGAGTTTTACATTCTTCTTCCATACTTGATGGTTGTCTGATATGAATTTATTTTTTAATTTATTTCCAATTTCATAATTTCATTTTTAAATTTATTATTCAAATTTTGAAAACAGTAATTGTATATATTTTTTTTAGGATGGGTGGGTGGGTGGGGGGGCATACGCCCTCCTGTAATAGAAATACAACTTGTAGACGTAAGATCATGTATAACATAATTTTATATTGTATACTAATTTTACACATTTCAGTAAAGATATAAATATAAAACCAAGTCGTTTTTGATACTAGGGTGTATCAAACCACCACCACCACACCCACCTCTATTGCTAACATACACCTCTCATATATTTTAATGGTTAAGTATAAATTTAAAACAATTTGTTTTAATATTTATATTGCTTATGTCTTTAAAAAAAACTTTTTTTCTGAAAAAAGTGTTCAGTTTCGTACGGGCACCACCACCAGGTTTGGTGCCCCCTCTGTCCGTCCGAAACGCCCGGTGGTTAGAGTTTAGCATAAAGTTGTAGCCCACTCTTACACCTATCTTTTGACACTAAGATATTTGTTTTTCGATAAGAATTGACAAAGTTATGACAATTTGAGTAAAGAAAAACATTATTTTGACAACAGTTTCTTCAACAAACCCTAATATCGAAAAATCGGTACTTAAACCGTCATAACTTTTGAACCAATTGTTCAATTTTGATAATTTTTTCACCTTAAAAAATACTGTAATAATCTTCTTTCTAATGATATATAACATTATAGTATTTAAACAATTTGAAATTTTTACTCACGTACCTAATATATATATACACGATTAGGACATTCCGGAATTGAAAGGTTTACAACCCTCATGAACATGCTAAAACCAATGACGCCAAAAAACTATTACAAACTTGTTTTAAAAATTACTAATATTACAGAGGAAGTTGCACAGGAAACAATGAATGATGCTGTATCTGATTTAAGACTACAGTGTCAAGACAATAATGAGATTCTTGATGTTAGTGTATCATGTGGTGGCACGTGGCAACGTAGGGGATTTTCATCATTGAATGGTGTATTTGCAGCACTTTCAATGGACATTGGGAAAGTTTTAGATGTTGAGGTGATGAGTCGAGTATGCAGAGGGTGCTCCTTCTGCAATTAGACAGAATACTGGTTATTTAATTGCCATGAAATTAGCAGCGCTTGCTACTCTTTTTCATGTTGCATCATCAAAAGCAAATAATTGGCACTATCCACATTGTCCAACAGGTGTAAGCAGTTGGTGTAAGTTTAACAGAGACAAAACAAATAGCACTAACACCCACAAGCCA